TTATTGCAGTCGAGCACTGGTGGCTCATGCTTTGTAATCCTAGTTACTCGGGAAGCTGAGGTTCAAGATTGGAAGCCAGCCCTGGCAGGAAAGCTTATGACACTCCTTATCTCCATTTAAGAACCAAAAAGCCAGAAGTGGAGCTTTGACTCAAGTGGTAGCACATTAGCCTTGAGCAAAAAAGCTCAGGGACAGCTCCCAAGCTCTGAGTTCAAGCCCCTGACCAATACAAAAAAAAAGGAAAAAGTTTAATAAGTAAGTCATAGGGCGTAAGGGTAGGAGAACATTCTAGGCAGAAGGAAGAGAATGTTTAGACATATGAAACAAGTTTGTTTATGGAACTACAGATAGCTGTGGAAACATAGACAACGTAGGTGATGTAATTCCAAGCTTCCATATTTATTAAATGTCTTTTTAGAGATCTCTCTGGCAGTAGTGTGACCATGGATAGGCTGGAGAGAGAGAGAGAGAGAGCAGTGATGCCAGATGGTGGAGACTAAACTGTGACTAAGGCCATGGCAGTAGGGGGAAATAAGAGGGTTTATCTTAGTGACTATTTCAAAAGTAAGAGAGAGCTAAGCCTGTTTCTCTAGACAACTGAGTAGAGATTCTATTCACTGGGAAGGTCAATTCTAGAAGGGAGAGGAAATGGCTGTTTATTTGGAACATGTGAGTTTTGAAACATGCCAGGTAGAAAGCTTAGTATTTTTACAACCTTAGGAGTAGGTGAAATCACCCAGGAAGCATGTGTCAGAACATGGAGAACAGAATATTGATAAACAGTATTTAGGGGCCACCAATAATAGAAAACGTACAGCATAATAGTTCTCAAAGTACAGAAGAGAGGGAGACATATCTACTACAGAGAAATCAGACCTGAGGGAATCCTTTGATTTGGCAATTAGCAAGTTCCAGGAGACCTGAATTAGCAAAAGTAATCTTAGCAGAGTAGATAAGGATCTGTTCAGGAGTGGGGTATGGTTAAAGGGTGAAAACAATGGAAATCATAGATTACTCTTTCCAGAGACTAAGCTTTGAGGAGTAAAAAAGAAAGTCAAGGTGAAAGATAGCTATGCTTAGGTTAGACTTAAGGGAAGAAAACAGTGTAAGAGGAATTGGAAAATAATAAAGGATAAAGCACTGTGCAAACTTGAAGGATGTTGGGCAACACCAGTAGAGAAGTTGGCCTTAAGAGAACAGATGCTGTTACAGATCAGTATACATAAGGGAGATAGGAAGTAGGAATAAGGGAGATAGGAGGTAGGAAAATTTCCTATTTACTCTATGAAATCAGTGTGTGTGTGTGTGTCTGCCTGTGTGTGTCTGCCTGCCTGCCAATAAATATTGGGGCTTGAACTGAGGGCTTATGTGTTGTCCCTTAGTTGTTTTTTTGCACTTTTTTTTTTTCCAGTCGTGGGGCTTGAACTCTGGGCCTGGGCACTATCCCTGAGCTCTATCAGCTCAAGGCAAGTGCTCTGTCACTGAGCCACAGCACCACTTCCAGTCTTCTGGGGATTAATTAGAGATAAAAGTCTCATGGAGCCAGGTGCTGGTGGCTCATGCCTGTAATCCTAGCTACTCTAGAGGCTGAGATCTGAGGATCGCCATTCAAAGCCAGCCCGGGCAAAGAAAATCCATGAAACTCATATCTCCAATTAACCAACAGAAAACCAGAAGTGCCGCTGTGGCTCCAATGGTAGAGTGCTTGCCTTGAGCTGAAGAGCTCAGAGACAGCACCCAGGCCCAGAGTTCAAGCCCCATGACTAACAACAACAACAACAAAAGTCACAGACTTTCCTGCCCGGGTTGTCTTTGAACCGTAATCCTCAGATCTCAGCCTCCTGAGTAGCTGATTACAGAGCCACCAGCCCCCAGCTTGTCCCTTAGTTATTTTGATCAAGGCTGGTACTCTGCTACTTGAACCACAGCTCCACCTCCTGCTTTTTACTGGTTAATTGGAGCTAAGAATCTCATGGACTTTCTCTATAGGCTGGTTCCAAACTGCAATCCTGAGACCTGTCTCATGAGTTGCTAGTATTATAGGAATGATCTGTTGCCCAGACTAGGGGAGATTATCTTTGTGACAAAAGTAGAAACGAGATGGTGGCTTGAATAAACTAACTACTAAAAGAGAGAATGAGAAACTAGAAACAAGCTAAATGTCTGTCTATCCATAGCAGAGAGAGGTTGAATGATACTGTATGTCCAGTCGGTAAAGTGCAGCTGTTAATGAGGAAAATATAGGAAACAAAGATATTCTTGAATAGTCACAGAATAGAAGGTAGACTTTAATGATTTTTCACTTATTTTGAGGGACAAAGAATAAACATTTTTGCATACTTAGGAGAATATACAAAAAGACTGGGCAAGCAGCAACTCAATGTTAACACTCCTAGGGCTCGTTCTTTACTCTGAGCCCTTCTATTTAAGAGGGTTTTTTTGTGTGGTGCTATTGGGTTTTTTGTTTGCTTGCTTCTTTGTCTGCTATAATAGTGAGTGAGGAAAGTGGGAGCTGGAGCTGACTAGAGA